TCCGATTTGAACAAGATAGCAGTTGTTGAATTAAATTGATGTATCCCACGAGAAACCCCTCATGCCATGCTCAAAAGCCACGCCTACTCCGTCTCAGGGATAAAAACCATATCTATCCTAGAATAAGCACACAAAATAGGCTATTTAACGAGTCACTAGAACAGACTTCTTTGATATATACATCACCATGAAAGATTAAAGTAAGTTAGTAAGTGTCAAATTTCGCTCGCAAACAGAGTGGAATTGCGAGGAACATGGGTAAAAGTAGAGATAGCTGCTTGAATAGCTGTTCATGTTGTAGAAACCGACGCAGTTAGCAATCGAGGACCATCCGTTTGGTACAGAAGAAAATGGAAGGATCAGCCATTTCCTGAAATTAATCTGATCTAAAAATCTAAAAATCTAATTAAACTAAAAACGTTAGGAACACAAACTCACAGCTGTAGAGGATCCAATCCTTCGTAGCCAACAAAGGACGGCTTTCCGAAGTCGTCATTCGCAATGGCACACCTCATGTGCGAACTGAAAGTAATCACTGCAGCCAAAAGCATCGGAAAAGGGCCTGAATCCACTTACGAGCCGTCCGGTCCAGGCGACTTGCCACCGCGGGAATGAGTCAGTTGCGCACTGTCCAAGTCCAATCCAGCTCCAGAAGTATGGCGGTGTCTCTTTCATCACTTCGTTCTGAAGGAAAGAGAATGATCAAGCACTTTTATCGATGGCAACCAGCAACTCACAAATTCCTTCAATGGAGTCAGCGACAAATAGCGTGGCTCCCTTCTCATTGCATGCTTTCTCAGCCTGGCCCAAACTCATCTTGCTCGACTCGACGTAGTAGCACGAATCTTGGTAGCTAATCCACCCATCAGGACAGACGAGGGGTTCCTGGAAAGCTATAAGATCTGACACACAACGATACTTGTCTACAAAACCTAGCTATACCGCCAGGAGATTCACCGGCTCTTCCAGATACTGCTGCTCTGGACGCCTACAACAGCTTCCTCTTCGTTGGCAACAGCAAGAGCACGATCGTCTCGGAGGTTCTGTAGTGGTTGGTGCCTCAGTTGTAGTTGTTGTCGTGGTGGTGGTGGTCGTCGTCGTGGTTGGGTCTTCGTAAACTTCGCAGCAACAGCAACATCCGCATGGTTCAGCTGAAAACCAAAATTTCTCTCCAGTTACTGAAACGCCTTTCCTCAACTCACGCGTCGTTGTCGGCTCCGTAGTAGTAGTGGTCGTGGTTGTTGTGTTGTGGTTGTTGGGTCTTCGAAGACCTCGGTGCAACAACAACAGCAAGAAGATGCTGTAAGGAGAGTTTGATTTGCAAGTGAAAATCCTATCAATAACTTGACCATCACCCGCAGGAGCAGGAGCTAAAGCAAGAACAGGAGCAGGAGTGTTAATCGTCGGTTCCTCCGGGCAGGGACATCTGCATCCACTACCTTCGTACTGATCAACAGGGAATGGGTTAACCCGTAACACAACAGCGAAGAGTAAGAAGGATCTGAAATGAGAGCAGTTTAGCAAGTGAGGCAAGACGAGATGAATGGCACAAGACGACTTACTTTAGAGACATTGGAACTGGAGTCTACTTCCCAGTCGCGCAGCTCCTTTTGTACCCACACACTCTTGGCTCCTGGCAATTCCGGTATCGAAATCAGACTGTTGGCAGTCTTTTGTCTCATCGCCAGGCGTTCTCGCATTCCTTCCAGTCATTGCATTCGCTTCGGTTATAAGGTGCAATGATAAGTAATTTCGTAACTCCCGGGCTTTTCTCATGTTTCTACGGAACAATGAGCACTTCTTTCGCGCTTTATGAATTCTACATTAGTTCGGCGATTAGCTACTTGGTATCGTTATCCATATCGATGCTTATATCGAGATCTTAAAAAATTAACGCCTGTGCGATCTATCCAAGCACATTGCGATTATTGTAGGTACGTTCAATACTGGTTTCCCCCTCATGGGATTCTTTAAAGGCAGCGTCCGCCGCGTCAACCCAACAGTGAAAAAACCTTCCTTGCGAAACGGAACGCGGCACGTCCGCAATCACAGCGCACAAATCCCTACTTCTTGCGGCCTCGAAATCGACTTGTCGTTGACACGAAGGCGGGGGGAGTCAAACAGCAGCCGGGGCTGACGCCTCCTGTCCTGTTAATCCCGCCCCGACTGGTTGACAGTTATCAATGCTTGCTGGCATTGATATACGCTGAATTTCTAGAGTTCCGAGGCGGCGACGTGTATTGGAGAACTCACCAGAAGTTTGCGAAACTCGTCCACATGCCTTAAATTTCATAGGGCGTTTTATTTTAACCACGCTCTTTCCTCGACCGCTTATTTCCTGGCTTTTTCGTGATTAGCTCGCTCCATTGGTCACGCTGTCTCTAGTAAATGTGACGCCCGTGAAACCGTGCCCAACAGTCCATCGCGGGCGCTGTTTTAAACATGACCTCGTTCCCAATAGGCAATCTTGTTTTAAACTTTTAACTGAAAATTATGATCACTGCATTTTATCCTTTCAAGGCAAGTCAAAATGATGTCTGTTTTAGATGTTTCAGTCCTGCAGCATCTGTTGTTCAAATGTGCGTAATGCCAACAGTTCTCACTTCGGCCGCCCCTCCACTTGCTTTAGTTCTCTTTTTGAGAACGATTCCATCGAACACTCTGAATTTTTGGGCTGTTTGTTCCTCTCCCCGAGAAATATTTATGGTATTGATTCGCCATCGTGACCGTTACGCATGGCTCACATTATTTTTTTTGGAGAAATGTTCAGATTACGGTGAAAATCTGTCCCCTGTAATACGTAGCAGTTCAACGCTCGACTCAAACATGGGAAGAATAGGCCATGAACCAGCTTTTGACTCTGAGTTCCACGTGATGAACTGGGTCCCTTTGCCTTACGATGCCAAACACCATTTGCTAGTTTTATTAATAATCAACCATTTTGATTGGTTTGATTTTCGTTCGCCGGATGAATAAAACAAAATGTTATGAAAGAAATATCGCTGAGCAGAACCGGGATCCAGGAAGTTTTCCCATAAAAATGATTTTTGGCAATAGTCCGTTCGCGCACATCCGCAGACCTCCTCACCTCCACCCTCGCCCCAACGAGGTCCCACTAGCGAACTGCTTGGTCAGTTTTTTTCTACGATAAGGCGCTCCATTTATAGAGCGCGTGTTCGCTTAATGTTCAAATGGTTGTTTAATGTTTATTTCTCGCTTTACTTTTGCGCGTACTAGTTTCGTCCCCTACATGCTTGAATCAGGGCATGTCCTACCTTGAGGAATCTCCAGCGTGGGGACGGGTGGCGAGGGGTCGTATTCAGTCCAGTGATTTTTTTGAAGTTTATTTTCCCTGCCTCACGAGCACTATTCACACTTTTGGGGGAATTTCAATAAGAGCAGGTCGTATTTGCTTGTCTGGGAGAGACGGATCGGGTCTGTCTTTGGGAGAAATTTGACGCGTTGCGAAGAAAAAATTTCCAGAAATCTTATTGACCCCACACCCCCAGTTGGAGGAGTTTTAGAAGTATTATACAATTACTATTTTCGATAGCTGAAACTAGTACCTGGTTGTTAACGACCTACTCCCCTCTCTCGGACAGCATTTTTGGCGTAAAATCGCAAAATTTTGGGAAATCCCGGTAAGAGGAGTACGAAACTCGGAAAAGTTGGCACGATAGAAGGTAGGATTCGGTCGTATTATATTGTATTAGCATCGACGAAATCAGGGGGGGGGGGTCGTGTTTCGTTTTCCCCACCGGCACGACGTAGGTCTGATTTGACCACCAGTTTAGCAGGTTAATTATACAAATAAGGACTCCTGCAGTGTTTAGCAACTTTTCACCGCGTTGTCGCGCGCGCCACTGCAGCCAATAAATGCGTCTTGAACCCCAAAAAATAGGGCTCATTTTAACCGTTCGAAATGACTGATAATGAGCTGGAACCGGGTCTACGAGGGATTCCAGCT